AAAGTTCAGAAAACCATAAGGCTATGATAATTAAATGTAAATCATGCCCAGGCACAATCCATCAGTAACATCAGGAAGAAAAATGGAAATTATAAAAAAGTCAGGAGAGTCCTTGGTGGATTAGCTKTATAAAACAACAGGGAAACCTGAATAGTTCACCTCAGGGGGGACTGTAATTAACTGGCATGGTCCTATGTCAATTAACAGGGTAAGAAAAAGAGAAAATTATTTTAATGGTAGAGATTAAAGTGAGGTTTAAGTTGGAAAGAGAAAGAATTGTGGATCTCCTAATTAATTCAAGGAGAGCACTTGTTTCCAGTGCAGTTTTAAGGCTCAGAAAGGGCCAGAAGCACAATTTAYCTGAGGCTTTTGAGATTTTTTATATATTAATACAATTTCAACAAGTCCTTTGTAGGTCCTTACATACAAAGCCAGCCAAACCAGGTTGCTCCAAACCAGGCATCCCAATGGCTGATTTAGAAATGCCACTTTAGAGAGGCTCACCATACCTGATGGCTTTAATTTACACAGTCAGCTGTGCCCAGAACCAAAAGGCTGCAAAAAGAGAAGAAAACATTATTTGGTTCTATGTGGATGTGGTCATCAGTGACTGAGAAGGTGAGCTCAGGGCTCTGGGCTGCCTGCCAGGACAGGAACCGTCTGTGGCAGGACACTGTCACAGTCTGCCAGGGGACTGCTTGTAGCTGACCCTCAAAATCCATCAATATTTTGGGTGATGGCTGGAGCCTTTGGAGATGCCTTTGGCAAGCACACAGAGGAACCAACAAATGGGGTGTGTCTGATTTCATAGGCCCAGGAAGGGCTCTGCTGCTGGAGYTGTGACTGCAGGATGCTTTCAGTTTGTTTCCCCAGCAAAACCACCCAAGCTTGGTGTAGGTGGGTGGTGAAATACATCACAGATTCTGTGGCAGTRGCTGCTGATACAGACTTTGCAAAACCACTTCCTTGGCCTCAAATTGCAGCTGTGCATATTTTTATCTTGCTCAAGGTGCGGCTGAGGTAGGATTTAATTTCTACTTTTCACTGGAAGCTGTTACTGAGATCTTTGGGGTCCATTTCACTAACACATTTGTGTTTGCTTTCCAGCTTACCCTGAGATCTCCCTTAGCCTGCAGGAGGGCTCAGCTGGCACCCCGCAGAAGGTGAGCAATTTTGGAGACACGAGTGACTCTCACCATGTCACCCCAGCAGGGTCTGGCAGGGTGAGCAGCATCAGGCACAGAGGGATCCCCAAACAGACTGAGGTCACAGGGCARCAGGCAAGGCAAGGAGATGATGTGAGCTGCTCGTGCCCTTTCCTCTGAGCAGCTCCCACCCCCACAGCAGGGAGCACAGACTGGGGCTGGCTGAGGACCTCTCTGCTGTGTGGGACACTGTTTTAATTTGGGAAATGGCAAAACCTAAAGGTCTGCTGACCTGCACCTAAAGGTCTGCTGACCTGCACTGGCCATGCCTGGTATAAAACATATCTCTGGCTTCTATGGCTGACAAGCCAGCCGCTCTGGCTACTAGCTATGGTGCTTTGCTTCCTTTCCCATCTCTCCAAGTTAAAGCTTTTGGTTTGCAAGTATCCTAAATTAAGGAGGTTTTCCTTAGACTTTGAGGACACAGAGAACCTCATGCTAACCCTAAACACCTGCTTCACACAGTCCATGAGTCAGCTGGTTCTGCAAAATGTTGTGATTTTCCTGGTGATCATTTTCTGAGTGTGGTGTTGGATATGGCAGGCTTTTGTCTGCACTGTCCTGTTGAACAGAGCAGGGGTTGTTGGTATCATGGGACTGGGTAATACAAACTCCCCCAAGAACCTCTCTGACCTTCACCTCCAAACAAACACCAACTCCTTCTCTTTTCTGCCTTTTCTTGCWGASCTTAAATCTAGTGAGGATATCAGATTTGTATTTCTTCGTAGGAAGCATTTATAAAAGTATTATGTCCTGAAAGTGCCTGAAAAATAAGGGAACAATGAAGAGGAAATGGGGGAAAGCAATTACACTGCGAGCTCAGGTGCTGTTTACCACCGCAGGGAAAGAGTTTCAGCCRGGGAGTTTCAGTTTTTGTTACAAATGACTTCTGCTGGCTTCAATACATCAAGCCTTCTTTCCCCCAAATGTGGGAACCACTTTCTTTGAAAGAGGGAGCAAGAGGGGTTTGTGCTGCATGAATAGCACACGCTTTTTTCTTCTGATGGAGAGAACAAAGCCATTTCTCGTATAAGTGTTTAATACTTAGCAGTATCAAAACCTGCTAAATAAACATAACTGGAAATGTCCAGGCAGCATGACGATGAAACCTCTCACCCTGCTGGTGCCCAACCCTTCACCCAGCCTTGATTTTGAGATCTTGCCCATCTATTGCTTGCTGAGAAATTAAACAGAGCACAAACACAGATCTTTGGAGCAATTGGCACAGAACCAAGACTACTGCATCTAAAGCATCCAATTCCTTGTGATTTCTGGAAATCTCTTACATATCATGTCTGCTACAAAGATATCTAATTTTGTCTATTTAAGATACCATTCGACTAGGCAGTCTTTTTCATGGGATTTGTCTCTACCTGCCTAACGAAGAAGGGTTTACATGGCAATCAGAAAGTATCTCATTCTCCTTACTCGCACTGTGCCCATTACCAAGTCCAGCATTTTTCCATGTGGCTGTTTGCACTGGGGGCAGGAGAGTGGGGGGTCACTCTACATCTCTCCAGCCATAGCACTGGACTGGAGGGGTTGAAGTTCTGACACCAGGGCAACAGTGGGGACACTGTGATTCCACGGTGCCTGCAATCAGAAAAATGAGGGGAGTGGGCAAGAAACTCAATAAAGAGGAAGCGTTTCCTTCCAGAGTGGGATTGTGAGTAAACAAGCACTGTCCCTACAGGAGTTTGTAAGCTGGCAGCCAGGAGGGAAATGTCACAGGCTCACCCAACATACATATAGATATATATGTATACGTGTGTGTGTGTGTGTGTATATATAAATATATAAATATATATATACGTAACCTAACCAGTGCCCTGTGCTGCCCCGCAGCCCAGTGTGAGCTGTGCCATCAGGAAGGTGTTTCCCAAGCCAAGCATCCAGTGGTACGTGGACAGAGTGAGCCTGACGGAGCAGCCTGGAGGTAAAGCAGCCTTTCCATGGGAAACACGGCTTCAGGAGTGGTTCCTAGGGGGATCCATGGCTGTTCTCCCCTCCTGCAAGATCCATCTGGCTGAAGGGGATATGACCTCAAAGTTTCTTCAAAGGAAACAGCTGGCAAATGGCTGTGACCAGAGACCCCTGCAACTGCCAGGGATGGGAGCCGTGGTTTGGCATGACCAGACCATTCTTGCCAAATTTCTGATAGTGTCTCAGCAAAGAAACCTGCAGCTAAATAAGCCTGCTTTTCAGTACCAATATTTTGCACAGCTCTGATTTATACTTTGGAGTACAATAAGAGGATCTTTTCTCTTTTTTTTTTTCCTTTCTCCAAGAAATTTCTGTGGTACAAGAAGACTGGCAAGACAGTGAAGGTTTCTATGAATTGAGATCAACGCTGATGCTGCAAGGGACCCAGGAGACACATAAGACATTCTCTTGTGCATGTCTGTTTCCCTTCCTGGGGAATGAAACACAGAATATTTCATCAGAAGAAATACTTGTTTCCTTCGGTACGTTTTTCATAGATAAGATACCTCTCAAATTTTAAGAACACCAAACACAAATATTCTCTGTTATTTAAAATACCGAAGGCCAAGGGTATAGAAGCTTTATTGAACAAGTTCATCACACAGCTTGAAGTCTCTGGCAGGTTTTTTCTGCTCAAATCTTTGCTCAAGCCTCTAAATAAGGTGAAAAACTCCTGCACATACGGAAGATAACTGTTTGTTTAGGCAGAATCTTGCTATACCCCAAAATACTCCATCATAGCCTCATGGCACCAGTGAGCTGTTACAATCATGAGCTTCTCAGAGAGCACTTGTGGCTCCCTGGAAAACCAAACCCTCAGAGTCAGGGCTGTGTTACACATCTTCAGTAAAACATGCACAAGAGTGCCCATGGTGGAGAAACGCCCCCAAAACCTGTACTGTAAGAATTAGATGGGAGATTAGGGAAGTGGGGAGCAGTGTCCTGCTTTTTTTGGCTTGGCAGGACAGAGGCTTTCAGCAGCTCTGAGGACACAGGGTGACAAGTGAGAAGGACACACAGATTTCCTTCATCATCCTGCTGTGCATGGCTCCTCTTCAGGTGCAAATGTGTTTTTATACCTGTTTAAAATGTTTTTATGATGTATTCTCCCTGCTGCACAGACGATAGGACCGAGCTGCTGACCCCTTAGCAGGGGGGACTTGTCCCCCACCGTGGCAGCTCCTGCAGCTCCACTGGGTTCACCTGGAGCTCTCTATGGTCCTAGGGCTATTTTTTTCCACAAAGTAAGATTTCTGCAAAAGCCACAGCTTACTCCTCTGGAAACAGAGCTTCAGAGGGGAGGCAGATAAATCTCAAGGCAGAATTTTTCTCAAAAATGACTCATTTCACCCAATTTGCAGTTTTCTAGAAATGTATTCACATCGAAGAGCCGTCAGTTAAAGCAGCCGATGTTCTTGCCTGCAGGCTATGCTAATGCTAGGATAGATCCACTCTGTAGAAAAACATTAATGTACTTAGATGTGACAGAAAGGAAAGAATTACATTAATTCTCAGCCATACCTTCTGCGAAGGTGCACAGTATGACACAAGAGCAAACTAAATTTTCAGCCTTTATAAMTGATTTAAGAACTGCTTTCATATTTCTCTTCTTTTTTTTCCTTCACAGACAATAAGTCTAATGAAGCCTCATCTGAAGTTTTTACTACCACAGTTTCAGATGGTAGGATAAATTAGAGAATAAAATAACTTTGGTTGTGTTTGAGGCGCATCTATRAATTCCTAAAGGTGTTGTAGCATTTACTGGCCTAAATGGGTAGTAACATATCACTTTCTGCAGCTTTGACTTCAGAAAAACTACAATAAACYGATATTTTGGTGATGTAATCTATCATAATTAAGATCAAGCATAATTAAACTCCAGCCTTGAGGGGCACTTAATGTTATTTCTGATGCTTCAGCTGGCATTTGAATATAGCTCTTTCAGCACTGAACTAATAATTAAAAATAACAGCCCTGCTAATGGTTCCACCTTCTGCCTAAGTACACAGCCAAGATCCTCAATACCTTTGCTGAATTAAAGAACKGATAGGATGTTTCTTAATCTGTGTAAATTTGGCAAATCCTGCTCTGCCCCTGCAAGTTTGTCTCATTATCAGCTTGCTGCAGACAGATAAATGTTCCCTGCACACCTGAGCTGAAGCCCTTTGGAGACATTTCTCCTGGAGCAGTTTGCTCTGCTCTGCATGGGAGGCAGCTGCACTTTAGCAGGGGTTTACACAAGTGTGTCAGAGAAATGCCGTAAGCAGATGGCAYGGAAAAGGTGTGGGGTCTGTGGGATAAACTTCTACAAGTGCAGGTTGTGGTAGGCCCTGGGGGCACAGCCAATACCCCACTGGGCACCAGAAAACCATCCCAAATATTGGGGGGCCCTGAGAGAGAAAGGCACTTTTTCCTCCACTGGCCTCTGCAAGGTGATGTCTCAAAGGAGTTCTGGCAATTTGCATCAGACCACCACCCTGCCTCTCCTTGCACATCCTGCTGGGAGCCAGCTACATCTCAAAGAGTCCCCCTGCTCTGGCTTTTAGACCATTTTTGCTGCACCTTTGATAAGGATTGCTTCCTGTCAGCGCAGGCGAGGCTGAGGTGACACACGAGTGGATGAGCAGCAGTCACAGGAGGTGCCAGTGTTAGCACAGAGGAGCAGCTGCAGGGTGGAGCTGCCTCCTTGTGCTCAGACCCTGAGTACAGGGTTTGCACAGGGTCACTCCCACCCAGCACCCTCCACACATTCCTGARCAGAGGTACCTCCTGGCTGCCTTCCCAGATGTTTTTCTAATGGAGTGTGTGAGCTTTCAGAGATCRCTTCCTTTGTGGACCCCTTTGGGGAGACACAACCCATCCTCCCAGACTGCTCAGGGGCACTTTTCCTCTCCTCCTCAGAAAAACAAAAGAAAGAAAACAGTGAGACATCTCTTACTCAGGACATAAATGCTGCTTGGGCAGAATGGTGTCTCTGCTGAGCTTGCCTGTGTGGTTAACAGTTCTTTACTTACAAGGAATAACTCCCCCTCCTCCTCTCTGAGGACTCAGTGAGCTCTTTTCAGTGCAAAGTGTCTCTGAAATTTCCTGTCAGAGTTGCAGGCTCTGAAGTGCCTCATGGATGGAGCTGTGCAGGTGCCACCACCAGGTCATAAATGTTATTTCAGCATCTGTGCTAATTGGTGCATCTCTTTGTATGGAATAAACCCACATGATTAATTTCTGGTTTTTAAGTTGAGGCACTAGGGGCTCCAAAWTTTTTTCCTCAAAACATTTGTTTCCCTAGGGATTCCCCAGCTCAATTACCTCAGGTTCTTCATGTTTCCTTCTGRAGTACTTGCCTGAGTTGTGCATGGAAAGATTATTTGTAAATTAGGTGTGATGTACTTTCTTGCTCTTGAACCTTTGACTCACCRACTTTCCTAAAGCAGAATGAGCACCTTTCTTATGTTGAATATTTGCTTTGATTTGTTACAGACTTTGGCAATTCAACACTTACGTCAGCTGTCATGACAGCCACAGGTAAGAGGGAAAAATACTTTATGACTTAATCAATATATGTGGGATCTCTGCTTGACCACTGCCTAAATGTCATGAACACAAAGTCAGAGATGTGACAGGGAATGGTCAGTGTGCTCTGGTACTGACAGGACCAATGTGCTGCTTGGGAATTTGGGAGCTGGTGAGGTTACCCAAGCAGGGATCTAAGAGAAATCTTGTTAAAACTGCCATGTTAAGACAGCATGTAAAATGGCATCCAGATTGTTATATATAATTCTTATGCATTTTTATAAAATGGAATAATATGCCTATAAAACTGTAAATAAATTTGTCCTATTATTAACATTATTGTCTAAAAAACCTGTCTAAAAAACCTAAATGTGATACCATGTAAACTGTCTTTAGAGTCSCAGTCGACATCTGTGGCCTCTCTGGCTCCAGGTTCCATAACCCAAGGTAATCAATTGAATCAAAATGTTTTCTCTGTTGCTTCAAAAATGTAGAAGAAAGACACATCAACACAAWAATCATCTTACTTTTTCTGAAGCAAGAAATTTAATGTCCATTGAATTCCTTTTCTAGTGCATTACACACTAGGAAGTACACTAACCACTAGAAAGTACACTGTGTAACCACAGYTCAGGAATAAATATATGATAAAATACTCTCTTGATTTTATCTCTTTTAATGCTCTGTTTAGGATATATTAATTAACTTTGCCAAGTGAACAGACATTGAGGATATATTAATTAGTGTTATTGTAGTGTTTACAAAGAATATCTATTGTCTTCAGTTAAATATCATACCTACATAGGTATGATATTTAACTGAATATTTATGATATGATAAATATGATAAATATCATAAATATGATATTTAACTGAATATTCCTCCAGAATACTGGAGAAAGATGCTAAACACAAAGCTTTGGCCTGCCCCAGCAGCTCTTGGGAAGCTGGAACACTCCACATAAAGCCCTGGGGTTTACAGAGGCTCTACTGAGATATGCCAAGGCAGGAGCACAGATTGCAGCAGTGCTGAAATTAAAGTTTTCTGCTTCTCATGCTGCCTTCCCCATCCCCAAAGCAGAGACACTCACCTGGCTGACAGCAGAACAGCAMAGCTGCTTGTCCAAGTGGGCTGAAAGCCCTTCTGTCCAAACAAAAAAATTAACAACAAAGGCTATAAATACACAATGTGCACAGAGAGGATTCTCCTTGCTGAATTATGCATCTTCTCTGGTTGAGGTGGTACGAGGTCAAACTCATAATGCRAGATGGAGTTGAGCCATTCTTCTTCTGCAAGAGCCCAGGAAGCAATTGCCTTTTAACCAATGCTCCCAGCGAGTTCCAGTTGTGCTCTCACAACCCTGGGTTAGTGTTTCTCCTCTCTGGCTCCCTGCTGATGCTCACACTGGTGCCCACCATCAGCTTCATGTGCAAATCCTCTGGCCCAAAGTCAAGATAGGATACCAAGTCCAAGCAYGCTGTCTCAGTCTGCTGGTTTGGTTCAGTTCCTGTTATTTTGCAAGTTTTTTAATGAAAATCTACAAGACACCTGAGAATGGATATGAGGGAAAAGAGCACATATATGGGCAAGAGGAGGAAGAGGGGAAGCAAAACCAAGGCTGCTAAAACTCTAACCTGGCTCTGCTGAGATTCCACGACAGCTCCATCTCTGAGYAGAGATGCTTAGGCTTTGAGTGATCAGTCACAGCTGCAGCTCACCTTCTCAGGTTCATTCAGTTGGCTTGATATTTTCCCAAAAATGAGACAGTTGTTAAGAAAGATGAGTTCTTTTTAGTAAATGTGAAATGGTTCTCTTGGGAAAATGAAGGTCTACATGCTAGCCACCATCTGTCTGTGTTTGAATATCAGATAAATAGCTAGCTGAGCTCTAGAAATCCTAGCACTTAAAAAAAAAAAGCTTCAATAAGTTGGTAATTGGTATCAGACATTCCAGGTGTGACTCCTGCTCTAACTTCTTCAAAACATCCCTTTGCTAGTTGGGAAAACAGTTTTGTTTCACTGGAGTTGGTGACATCCTGTGTGAATTCTGATTTATGTACGTTTGTTCATCGCTCTACTGGTTTCAGGTTGAAACAAACCAGTGCACKCAAACTCCTGAGGTTCACCTGAAACTAAGCTGAAATATAAAAATGCTTCAAATGTTTTGTCTAAGTTTATTTACCTATATCTCAGTAAAACTCCTCTTGAGTTTCTGGCCTGTGACAGGCTTTCAAGCCTGGCACGTGTTGTGTAGTGCCTGTCCAAGGGAAGCCAGCATCTCGAGCTGTGGGCTACACCTGTTTGAGCTCATTAGTCAGAAAACAGGGAAGAAAGAGGGGAGAAATTAAAAACAAGTGACACAGTTCCCTACAGGAGTTTTCACAAGCTTGTGTGTTTTCTATCAGGAGCATTGACTTCTACCACAGAGACAAAGGGCTACACCAGTGCCACAGCATTYGGTGGGACTTTGAGAACAGCACGTGAGTGGGGAATACATCTCCTTTGCTTCATAGGACTGCAACAGAGGAGTTATGGYACCAGCTTAGTGAGTGTTGGGTCACAAATCTGCAGTAATCTGGAGCATCTTGCAAAAACCACAGCAGCAGGTCCTTGGGTTCTCAATTTTCTCTTGGGTTCCCTTTTCTCAGAGCAGCATCTCTGTAGTGCTTATTTTCAGCTGCTAGTTGAGAGTCACCACACTCCCATGCAAAAATTATAACTGAGCATGGAAAAGTTGTGTCTGAGCAGAGGCCAATAGTCAGGTGGAGTAATGTGTACCAGATTTTCAATTCTTCACAGAAGCAATTTCCCTGCTGAGTTAGAAGGTAAAGGCTTGGGTTTCCAAGCTGTCATGGATTTGCAGTGGCAAAAGAGGAATGAAAAAACATTTGAGTATTGTGRTTTCATTAGACATATTTATTTCAATAATATTACAATTGAGATAGTTGCTAGGCAAATGTAGTGGATGCTGAAGGTAGTTTATAGATGAAATAAATTGCCAGAGAAGCTAAATAAAATCGCAGTGAAATAATGAGATAATGTGCAGCAATAAAGGCTGGCTAATAGAACATTGAAAGGCAGCCTCATTAAAGATCAATAAATCAATTTTAAAAACCCCTAGGGTGAACATTTTTTCACAAGTCTTTCCCTTTAGAAAAATCCCTGCTCAGCAGTACAAAGCCCAAAGTGACTTTCTTTTTCAACATCTTGGTTTGCCTTTGTGCTTTTGGAACAGGCAGGACCTGTCAATGTGCTTTTGCAATTTGCATGGGAGTCGTCTTTTGGCTGAGGCACAAGCATAGCAGCCGCTTTCCATTCCACGGATGTATTTTTGGTAGCACTCCGGTGCTTGTCTACCCTTGTACAACCCACAGCCATGCATTTACACCACAACCTCATGACAGCTTCTAATGCTTTGCAATTCTGCTCCTGCACAGCTTGCTGGCTGCAATTTTTGCGAAAGCGTGCTGAGTTACTGCATGCAGGGTAGCCCCGTCTTGGGTAAACGCGGAGTAGACTCAGATAACCTTCATTTTAAAAAGTTACCCATGTATTTTTAGGTAACCTGTCCCACAGCATCACAGACCAGACAATTTCAGTTCCCAGAGGGCAAGATTTCTTAACTACCAGCAGCCCRCTGAACAATACTGGTGAGATGTTACCYTACAAATGCTSTTCTTYCAGCATGCCACTGCAGAAGCACGAAACCTGGAGCATCGTGTCCATTTGGCCAGGGGATTTCAAAAAAGGGAAAAGAGTAGTCACAGATGCTGCACCCTCATACCGTGAGCTGTTGCAGACTTTTGGCATTCCAGCCTTCTCCTTCCAGCTGTAAGCAAAGCTCCAGTGCATATTTTCTTCCAGCAGCAAAATTTGGCTCCAGGTAATACTTGTGGCCCAGGGAAATTTCACAGCTCACGCAGGGTAGTGGACTGGCCACAGTGCTGGTTCCACAGTGGGTAAGASCCAGGCTGGGGGACACACCGGTATGGCCAGCACAGGGTGGGGATGCCAGCACGATGGRAGGTGACACTGAGGTGTATCACCCATGGACCTCTCTGGCATGCCTGCCACTGCTGCACCCTCTGGCAGCTGGAGGAGCACTGTGCTCCTTCTCTCCTTCTTCTCCATAGGCAAGAGGACACCTCTGTCAGCACCCCCAAGGGTGGCTGTGCAGAAAGGGGAAGGGAAATCCCAGCACTGCAGTGGGGAGAGGAAGCTGGAATGAGACAGGAATGCTGTGCTGTGAACAGGAGCTCACCTCAAAAGGCAGCTGAGCCCTTGGCCGGACGCTTTGGCAGCGTTTGGTGTCAGTGGTGTGAAAAATACRCCATTGGGAAGGAGGGCTGGAGTGGGCAGATGTAGCCGTGTGCACTGTGACATGCAGCTTGYAGCAGAGAAATTCACAGGGGAGCAGAGAAAGCCAATGGGGTTTGGGTGAAATGCTCTCAGGGCTGTGCCTAAATAATCTCATCAAGCGAAGCAGTGGGTGGCTGCACCAGCTCTCACACCCAGTCAGAACAAAAGTGGGCCAAGTCCATAAATCAGAGCTGCAATGCTCCGAGTTTGGGCTCCTCAGCTTGGTGATGGGGATCATCAGTTGACACCAGTGCTGTGCGGGGTGGGGGGCAGTGAGCCACAGGTAGCAAACTCAGATTTTCCCCCATTCAGATTTTCCCCCATTCAGATTTTCCCCCATTCTGAGGCCATTCAGATGAGCTCTGACCGGTGTGTCCCTCACAGGTGACAGGAGCACCACAGTGGGTCGCTTCCCCTGGCCAGCAGTGGTGGCTGTCCTGCTCCTCGTCTGCAGCTCTCTGCTGGTTTTAGGCATCAGGAAATGGTGTCAGTACCAGAAGGAGATGTAAGTACAAGGGAATGGAGCCACAGGGCTGGAGGGGTGGCACAGAGGGCAACACAAACTCTGGCCCAGTTGTTCAGATTTGCACCTCTTCATTTGAGAGGACTCAGAGCACACAAGGCCTTGAAGTACACGGATYACTAATGCCATTTTTTCATACAGCAGTATGAAAAGTGGAATTTTCTCAGTCCTTTCATCTGTTCTGTAGGTTATCTTTAAAATAAAYTTTGAGAAAAGAGCTGCAGTGCAGCTTCAGGGTGTAAGCTGAACAGTCAATTTTTGTCCCCAGAGCCCCCCATTTCTATTAGACTCTCTCCCAGCAGCTTYTGCTCTCTTATTTTCTATGGTTACTTGAGGACATGTATTAATGAAATTGTACTTCTAGGGCAGCTCTATTTGAGTTTTGAATAATATATGTGAAAGTAGGCTACCTGAAACTCAATCTCAGTCAAAGAAGTATTGAGTTTGTAATTATTGCCAAAGTTTGATTCCCTGCTAAAGCACTCTGAGATCTGCTGGTGAAAGCAATATATAAGAGACAATTATTTTTAATCTTACAAAAATTACTAAAATACTCAAAAAATCATAGTTAGTTAATTATGATTCTAGAAAACCCACTGGAAACACTGCATCAAAGGCAAAAACAGGACCGATTTTTTTAACTGATTTGAGATGTGACCTTTATTTATAAGTTGACCAAAAAAAAAGTTACAAGTCTTTAAATACACCTTCAGAAAGCTGTGTGAGCAAAAGGTCCATGCAAGGGTTTTGAATGGTTCCTCAGGAGGGTATTCTGTTCTTTTGAAACAYGAATAAAGTAAAATTGTGAGGTGGGAGTTAAGAAAGCCGAATGAATACCAGGAGGTATGCTGGGGTTATAAAACAGACTCASGGAAGTCACAGTATGTGAGAGGTAATGGCAGGTGCTCCTATAGTGACTCAGAGCCAATCCACCTCCTCCTGTGARCACTTTACAGCAGTCTTTTATGTGGCCTTTTTGTCATGGTGCATTTTTTCTCTTGTATTTCAGTATGAACAGACCTCCATCTTTCAAGCCACCACCACCTCCAATAAAGTACACCTCCATGGTGGAGTCTGATGGAATYCCCCCATCCTGCCATGAACTGGAGAACCTGTGACATCACCTACACCCCTTGTGTAGCACATGGAAGACAGACACAGTTAAAAGGCTCAGTGATYACAGGAGCCTGGTGTTAATGGCCCATATTAAAATTCAGAGATCCTACATGACATTAATTTTTAGGACACTCCTTTCCTCCTGAGTAACTCTACGTGTGCCTTACCTTAACGCTGTTGTGAGTGTCACTGTGAGTGTCAACAGGCTTGATTTGAATTGGGTGACCAACTGGGAATTTGCTGTCTTGTCAATGGGAGCAGATTAACACATCACTCTGCCAGCCTGACTGAAGAGTGTTGAAGCTTCTCCATCTATTAAATGTACACAGATGACAGCTCTGCCATATGGACACCACGGTTACACAGGAAACACTGGCTGAACACAAGATTTTGACACCTACGTGAGCTGTTCTTGCAATTATTTTGTTTTACCGTGGACTAGCATAACCCAACATGTAATTTTCTATCACTTTGAAACCAAACAAGAAAGAAYCAGTGCCCTACACAGAAGGAAAATAGTCTGCATCTCTTGGCATAGGATTGCAGCACAGGATCACGGAGAGGGCATGGTGAGATTTAAAACCGTGGTGCAGGCCTGATCCAAGTGCACATAAAGAGGTCTCAGTCATCATCAGTGAAATCACAAGAAACTCAGCTTCGGTAGAAGTTACCTGTAGACCAGACACTGAAGGACTTTAGTGAGCCTAAAGATAATGGAAAATTCTAGTCCTTTTGGAAGAGATATGCTTTGAAACTTACCCTTGAGTCTACTTTTCAGGAATTCTACTTACATACATACATACATACATACATRYATATATATAYATATATATATAACATATATATTTTAGTGTACATGAAGTATAAAAGGAATGTCATAATTTTCTTTTTCTTTGGCCTTAATGAGCTTCCATCATTTGCTATCTTCACGTTTTCCAAGACCACAGGGGTAGTATCCCAGATGGTTTAAACATGTGAAAGAGATGATCCAGTGTTCCCCCTGCCCTGCCCAAGCTACAGATTTCCTTGAGTGGACACTAATGAATAAATGATGGAGCAGAGGGTGGGCTCAGCTCAGCCCTCGGAGCAGTTCTCAGCTTGCTCAGCAGCTGTGTGATCACCAGAGCAAGGCACCAGAGCTGCAAGAGGAGCTCTGCTTTTGGCAGCAATTACAATATCTTCAGGCAGCCAAGAAACTGTCCCTCTAAGCTTGTTTGAAAATTTATTGTTACCACAATGGTATTTCTGTAATTAATGCAAATCAGCTAAAATCCAATCATGTCAGGCTTAAAAATGATATTCTGATTTAGGAATGAGATTTGCTTTATTTACTGCTGAACACTGGTCGATGAGTGTCAGGGTTCAGAGCACTGTATTTCCCGGGACTTTAAATGAATGACTTACTGGAAAGAATGATCTAACCGACCTTTTTAGAGTATTTTGTTTATTGTTTAYCTCATAGTACAAGCAGGTCTAAATCCATCATCTGTGCTGAACAGAAAACACTTTGTTTCCTACAAAATTATACCACCCTTCTATGCATGGAAGGGTCAATGTCAATTTGAGCATTTCTTGTCTCTGTGGTATTGCAGAAGCGAAGTAATTTGACTTTTGTCATACTATCCATCGCTGCAAAAGAAGGGAGATTTTTGCCCTTAAAAAAAGAAAACCCACAAACAAACAAAAAGGAAAAAAAAAAAAAAAAAAAAAAAGCCCAAAGAGATGGATAACAATATTTCAAGAGGTGTGGAGAGCCAGGACTTTCTCCCTGGCTCTGCGGCCGTTAGCTGAGGATGGCTGTAGCATACTGTCGAATGGTGGTTATTTCATTATGTCGGCTGTTCTGATCCCCACGATGGCTCTGGCCGGCTGCTGCCTCTGTCAGCGGTGTTCCGCGGGGTGACCATGCCCGGGACACCCCTCCCGGCTGCGGGGCGCTCCCAGCCCGTCCCGAGGGTTTTCCAAACATCTCCCAGCGCCGGGACACAGGGACGGGCACGGAGCCGCGCTCCCGCCGCTCACCAGCAGGGGGAGCCGCAGCACCGTCCTGGCCCTTCTGTCCCTCCCGTCCCGTCCTTCTTGTCCCTCCCGTCCTGTCCCTCCCGTCCTGTCCTTCCCGCTCTGTCCCTCTTGTCCCGTCCCGTCCCGCCCTTCTTGTCCCTCCCGTCCTGTCCTTCCCGCTCTGTCCCTCTTGTCCCGTCCCGTCCTGTCCCTCTGTCCCTCCCGTCCTGTCCCGTCCCGTCCCGTCCTGTCCTGTCCTGTCCCTTCTGTCCCGTCCTTCTTGTCCCGTCCCGTCCCGTCCCGTCCCGTCCCGTCCTGTCCCTTCTGTCCCTCCCGTCCCGTCCCGTCCCTCTTGACCCGTCCCGTCCCGTCCTTCTTGTCCCTCCCGTCCTGTCCCTCCCGTCCTGTCCCTCCCGTCCTGTCCTTCCCGCTCTGTCCCTCTTGTCCCGTCCCGTCCCGCCCTTCTTGTCCCTCCCGTCCTGTCCCTCATGTCCCGTCCTGTCCCGTCCTTCTTGTCCCGTCCCGTCCCGTCCTGACCCTCTTGACCCGTCCCGTCTCGTCCTTCTTGTCCCTCCCGTCCTGTCCCTCCCGTCCTGTCCCTCCCGTCCCGTCCTTCTTGTCCCGTTCTGTCCCTTCTGTCCCTCCAGTCCCGTCCTGTCCCTCTTGACCCGTCCTGACCTGTCCCTCCCGTCCCGTCCTTCTTGTCCCTCCCGTCCTGACCCTCCCGTCCCGTCCTGTCTCTTCTGTCCCTCCCGTCCTGTCCCTCCTGTCCTGTCCTTCCCGTCCTGTCCCTCATGTCCCGTCCCGTCCTATCCCGTCCCATCCCGTCCTGTCCCTCCTGTCCTGTCCCGTCCTTCTTGTCCCGTCCTTCTTGTCCCGTCCCGTCCCGTCCCGTCCCGTCTTTCTTGTCCCTCCCGTCCTGTCCTATCCCGTCCCGTTCTGTATCTTCTGTCCCTCCCTCCCGTCCCGTCGCGTCCCTCCCGTTCTGTCCCTCTCGTCCCGTCCCGTCCCTCCTGTCCCGTGTCCTGTCCCTCCCGTCCCGTCCTGTCCCGTCCCTCCTGAACGGAATGAGAAGTGAGTGTCTTTACAAACGCTGACTCTGGGGATAAGATAAGGCCGATACTGGAAGACAGATGGAAACAATGGGAAGGATTTCCATAGGAATTCCACTGATTGACTTACCCCAGACTATGTTAATAGACTACAAGAGCAGAGACACAGGTTTATATTGAAAGGGGGCAATGTATGATAGAAGGGGGGGTTTCATTAGGCGTTTCGGGGAGCCTGTACCTCTCAAACACCTCAGCCAATGGGGTAAGAGAGAGGGAATTGCGGCCGGGAAATTAGGATAAAAAGAGGCTGCATCCTCTATCGATTTAAGAGACCCCATGGGAAATWCCCATGACCTCTCCCTTTATTCATKAATAAAGTTACGGGACTCCTCYGTCTCCTTTTTGGACATAAACCTTTGGTGCTTRTGGATTMATTTTCCTCACACTCCTGTCCCTTCTATCCTTCCTGYCCCATCCMATCCCGTCCCATTTCCTCCCGTCCGTCCCGTCCCACCGGGAGCAGCGCGGGGATGCGGCGGTGTTCCTGCCTGCCCGAGGGCAATAAGGATGGTGCCTGCCCTTCCCTTTCAGCTCCAGGGCAGCCATCAGTGTCGGAAAGGAAATCCCCACCCCTGCCGCCCCCATTTTTCTGGTTTTCTGCAGGTAAATTGGGTGCAGGATGGTTTATATTTGTTTCATTCTATCTGCTCCTCACCACGATAAGAAYGCAACACACAGTTTACTCAAGAATTGTAATTCAGTTCAAAATTGACCCCTGCTTCAAAGAGGAAAACAAACGAACAAACAAAACAGCTGCAGAAACTTCAGCTGCCCCATCCCTGATAATATTCAAGGGCAGGCTGGATGCGACTTTGAGCAACCTCACGCARTGGAAGGTGTCCCTGCCCATGCCAGAGGGGCTGGAACTAGATGATAACTCTGGGATTTCTTCTAGACCAGACCCTTCTATGATTCAGTGATTATTTTTGGCAGCTGCTGCCCTAGTATGTAAGCAGGAATCATTTAGCTTGGACTTGGGTTCTGTCAACTACGGAATAATTTGGCCCAGGCCAAGTTACCAGATGCTTGAAGGTGGTTATGGGACTGTTAGATAATAGCTTTTCTGTGAGYGTAAAATATTCAAAGCTTGCTGTGAGGGCGTAGTAAAGATTTTTTAAGAGAGTTTTGAATGTTTTTTGTAGTTTAACCCCAGCTGGCAGCTCACTTCCACCAGTGAGAAGTGAGAGTGGAGAGTAGGGTGGAGAGAGAACTGGAAAAGTAACAGTGAGGAAACTCGTGGGCTGAGATAAAGACAGTTTAACAGGGAAAGCAAAAGCTACACACCATCAAAGAGAAACAAAGAATTTATGCATTACTTCCTATGGGCAGGCAGGTGTTCAGTCAGCTCCAGGAAAGCCAGGCTCCATCCTGTAATGGTGAATTGGAAAGGCAAAACACCACCACYCTGAATGTTCCCCTCTTCCTTCTTCTTCCCCAGCTTTATACACCAAACATGACACCATATGGTGTGGGGCATCATTGTGGTCACTTGGGGCCAGCGGTTCCAGCTGTGTTCCCCCACAATGCCTTGTGCACCCCCAGCCCACCCAGTGGTGGGGTGAGAGGCAGAAAAGGAAGAAAAGGCAGGAAGAAAACGCAGAAAAGAAAGGCAGAAAAGGCTTTGGCATTGTCTGAGCTCTGCTCAGCAGTAATGAAAACGTCTCTACATTATCAACACTGTTTCCATCATAAATCCACAGCACCAGCTCATAAATCCTTATACCAGATACTATGAAAAGAATGAACTCCACCCCAGCCCAGACCACATTACTAAATACAAATCTATGACACAATGAAACCTGTAAAGCAGACCCAAGTTGAATCTGAGGTCATGCAATAACATGGAATGTCATCCTGTGAAATTATCTGGGTCCGCTGTACATGATCTTTAATATGTGCATTACACAGCTATGAAAGCAGCACAGTGGAAAGCCAAGCAGCAAAGTGTTTTTATGCACAAGTGGTTTTCATCTGTTCCTGAGGAGATGGTGATTGCTGCAGGGCAAGGGGAAAAAAATTACAAAAGCAAAGAATTTGTTCTTAATACTGGTTTACTATTGTGCCTTGTGAAGTCAGTGGCAAGACCTGGGGACTTGAGTGGAGTGAGTGACTTTTCCCAGCACTCTGTGGTTTGTATTCCTGACTTTTTATTCCAGGTGATGCTGGGCCCTGCTGAAGGAGGGCCAGGAAAGGAGGCCAGCTCCAAGCCCCAATGGTTCATGGAGCAGGCAGGTAACCTCAGCCTGGTTTCCACCTCTCTGCCAACAGACAGGACAGCTCTGAACTGAGAGAGTGCACACCTGACAGCCATCCCAGCAAGTCTTAATCCTCCTGAAGTACCTTTTGCATCACTCTGAGTCACACATACTTTTTGAACAGTATGGCAACAGCTTCTCTTACAAGGCACCTTTTGGTCCTGTAAATTCATTAAGCTTGGCTTGCTCATTTA